AGGTTATACCTACAGTTAGTGTGCCTGCAAGGCTTCTTTCGCTCATCCGGCTTCAGTTTTGAAATACCAAGAAATATGGTTAGCCGTGTATTTCACCTATAGGAAGTCTTTTTAGCGACAAACTGTCAAAGAGTTTTTATACCCAGGGAAGGAAAAAAAAAAAAGGAAGTCATACACTTGCCTGCATCTGTAATAGGGCAGTACCCCTATTACAGCTCAACACTCTCAAAATATTAATTTGTCAAATATGAATTATAAAGCTATAACATTTCATAATTCAGGACACACTCAAATACTAGGAAAAATAGCTACAAGAGCCTAAATAAAAAAAAAGCATTTATTCCATTTTTGACAGCTTAATGAATGCCCTACTCTTTTGCATTGATTTTTGTGTGTATGTGTGTCTGTGTGTGTGCATGTGTGCCTGGGAAGGATTTCTCATGGGGTTTGCTGTAAACAAGGCAAGCTAAATCCTCCGCCAAAGCTTCTTTTCCTACCTTTAAATAACCTCCATATTAAATATTCCAGGAGAGAATACATAAAAAAGTACTGAGAATGCAAAAAATAAAGAACAATTACTTACATCGCAGCAAATCTACAGGAAATTGGTAGAACAAGACGTTAAACAATCAAATACCTTGACGTGGCAAAACAGTCACAGAAGTAGTATACGTTAATTCCTGCTTTCAGAAAATAGCAGTAAATTCAAAGAGCATGGTCAACAAAGCCCTAAAACCTTAAATTCATGACCGCTTCCAGAACACAAATTTTCCTTACACACCTAAAGGCTCATCTTGAGAAGCAAAATATGTTAACGAAAAAGTCTGCAAGCACCTAGAGATAGAAAAATAATGCATCTTAAAAAGCACTGTGCCGCTTAGAATGTCTAAACACTTTAAATTGAAATATTCTGGCCAGTTGGATCTCTGCTTTAATGTTTTTCCTGGTTCTTAACATAATGAACTATGTATAATTTAAATGGAGATTAATTCTTCCATTTAAAGTGCTTTAAAATAATTCTGCCTATGATCTTGAGATCTCAGCCCAGCGTCTCCACAGTGCCTCTTCTCCAGTTTTCCTTGAGCTACATAACTGGAACTGACAGATCACTGCTCAGATAGCAGCCACGTTCTTCCCCCAAAATGTTGCCTTTTTGCTATTCAGGAGTATCCTAATACCAACAAATGCTAAATGAAGTCTGACATGTACCCCTAAGAAACAAACTTGTAAGTTGCGGCTTCAAAGAAAACCTTGAATAACTAGGACACATTGTGTACACCCAGGCTAACATCCAACATATGCTTTAGTTTCCCGATGCTGAGACAGAGCAAGAATAGCCTCTGGTAAAGTCTGTGATTTGCTGTTGCTGGTACTTCCAACATTTATAATGTACCATTTTTTTTTTTGCCTGTATAAACAATTTTAAAAATGTAATTAAGAAGACCGCAGCAACATTTCAGAACACAACATATTCATGAATAATGGATTATTTGACATGCCACCCGTTTGATCAACATTTACAAAACAAAACAAAGAGCATTCCTGGTCTTTCCTTTGCAAAAGAGCATCACCACCAATAAGTCATAACTGGACAGGTGGCTTTATCAAACAAAAAAGTAACCTACGTAATGAATGTTTTTAATTCTTCCCTCTGGTGGCGGTGAGACACATGCTGAACGGCGAGATGTGGCCGGTAGGTGCTATTAACAGCCACAGATACAAAGAAAGCGCAATAGAGACAGGGATAGAGAAAAGCAAGAAAACAAGATAAAACTACATTTAATTGCATGTGTAGAGTCAATTAAGAAAGGCCATTCTTAAAAGGCCAATTTAGTTACTTGTTACTTAGGGAAGACAGAGAAGGGATGGACAGACAAGATACAGATACGACCTACTTTAAGAGATACATACATATTTTCCACCATTATTTAATGCTCTATTTTACGACTAATCTTCCTGAAAGAACTAACGGGAGTTTAATTCAATCTTATCATCCCCTTCTCTGCTTTAAGTCCCTTTCCCTTTCGTCCTCCATCCCTCTGGATTTAGGGCATGAAAGTGTACCATTAAAATTCAAGCACAGTAATTTACAAGATCTAAAGTGTGCTTGCTGAAACACTATGACTTAAAACAAATTTACTGTGGACAGAAGACAGGTTATGTGGGCATGACAAAATAATTAATGAGTTACAACACAGCGTGAGCCCATCTACACCATGGGCCATCGGCTGACCTACAGAGGAGTCACGGCAGACACTAGTTTAATTCTGGAACCGGCAGGTTAAGAATTGATTTAACATTGTAGTTATAAAGTTTTTATTTTGGATTAGGTGCAGCCGCAAAGCGCCTGAATGTATATTATGAATTCACAAATTCGATACTTTAGTCCTTCAGAACCCCTTTATTCTTTTAGGAAATTGAGGTTTGGTGGAGCCTTGTGAGTTGGTTTTATTTTTTCACTGCAAAACACCATTTCCTTAAATTCTGCATTAAAAAGTGGATAACTAAGCTGTAGTCTTATAAGGAAAGCAAAAAAAGATACACTAGCATGAACAAGTAGTTTCACTGGCAGCAAAACTTCCAGTCTATTTCTGATACGCGTCACCAAACTGGTCTGTGCCCGGCGAGCACCGCAGCTGTTCCTCTGAAGGAGGAGCGCTAAGTCTCTGCCAGCTACCCGACCTCACGGAGCCCGCAGGGACAAACACGGTGATCACACCATCCTTTTTCTCTGTTAAACTGCGCTTCAGTATTTTGTAGGCTTCCTTTTTTTCTTTTTTCTGTTTTACACTTCTTGGTTTCAACGTGCAGAGTGTGCGTTTGCTTCCTTGGGACGGCAAAAACCCCAACATCAGAGACATCTCTCCGTCACTCACAGAGTTCGGCACTGTATTGCTGCACAGATGTTTTCTACTAAAAGACCACATGGCATCCTGGTGCTGCACTTTTATTTATTGCATCACTGTTTAAAACAATTATTCGCCCAAGAAACTTGAAGACTAATTTTAAGACTATCTTGTAAATGCACGTCTTTGGGATGCTGGAGTACTAACTAGCAATGGTACATCCAAACTATCTATTTAATCAGAAAAAACTTCAATAGATTATAAATAGATTTCAAGTTATAGTGCTCTTATGAGAAGTGTAATTACAGTTAAGAGAACCACTTCGTTCTTCTTGTGTGCTCCTGGGATCCCTTAAAAGAGTCTAAGGGATGGATTATGATAACGAAAAAGTAAATCTGAATTACTTCTACGTATGCTATTTACAGCACCTCTTGTTACGGTACACAAAAAATACCACATAATCCCGTAAAAAATTCTGCTTCTAAACAACATCTTATTTCCTCTAGACCTTAAAAATAAGATAGACAAGATGCAGTCTCCATCAGAGATAAAGGATGGACTTAATTTTTACTTAAATCTCACCTTACTCCCAAATAAGAACCTACACGTATATATTCCCACTAAAATCAATAAGTCTTCTTCTTTTTTTTTTTAATTCTGATGGGTTCTGTATGAGACAACTTGCAATTATCAACGTGTGCTTTTGCCAGAAGCCTCATAAATAGTATCTGAGTCCAGTGTGTTTTGAGAGTCCCTCCTACTTCTTCCCAGTACAAAAGCCCCTATTGATAAGCTGATGAATAGTGTAAATGCAGTTCTAAAAAGGGAAAAGAACTACCTTTATAATCAATTTTGTGTGAAGACCCTTCTGGCTGCCAAAAGGTCAGAAACTACATCTTCAGGTAAAAACTAACCAGAACGGTACTACTACTGAAGTGAATCAGTATTTAAGCTATTTATTCTTCGGAGGGCTCCTCCAAGCCTGCAACGAATCCATAGCTTTTTGCCCCATCAACACCTTTGACATTTTGCTATTACCTAGCAGGCCCCATTACTGAGAAAGTTCTGCCACAACGTTCTGTCTTGGAAGTGAAGTGGAAGAGGACTGGAGAAGAGGGAATACCAGCGTCGCTAAAAACCACATTGTGAAACAGAGCAGAAGCCTGATGCAAAGAAAAAATATTCCATCTTCTGGATATGCCAATGTAGACAGCGTTAAGAAATTCTTTGCTCAGAAGACTCGCGGTGGCCCCTCCGGCTGTACAGCTACGCTGGGGACTTGGTGCGGGACCTATTCCACGGAAAAAGGCAAAACAGCTCACCCATTGCCACGTTACAAACGGGAGTGACGCCCCTTCCAGTGTGAATACACACGAACACTTCCGACTGCAATGAGCCCTATTAAATCACCATTCTATTTCGAATGAGCATCGGAAGATGTGCAGAGAGCACCTTTGTTTTCTCCCGCTCAGACACTGAGTTTGTGTGTCATACACAAACATATCTAAAACTAGCTGACACAACAGATTAAATTACCGGAGCTGGAGGCATTTTTCCTCTCGTGAATTTATATCCCTTTATTTAAAGGGGTTTTAACAGAAACCACGTCTTACAATCAAACACCAGAGATAGCTGTAATTACAATGAGCACTGTCTTTGCAGAGCAACCAACCTGACTGGCGATACAAAAAGGAATTGACGCAGGCCCATCCAGCCCAGTGCAAGAACCACAACCAGAAGCCAGGTCATCTAGACGGGTCTGAAGTTATTTGCACACTGGAAGCGCTACAGCAAACCATTTAGCATTCCCAGAACGATCACACTTCCGTGACTTAGGATACCTGAGAAGAAATGTTCCATCTGAGAAGCGTATAGCGAAATCAGGCACAGCTGGAAAGCCGTAGGGCAGCACCGGAAGACTAGAATGCTTTCACGCATCACTATACCTGCCAGCCAAGGAAGCCATTCTCCTACATCCTGTAAGTGACTGTTGTGAAAAACATAATTTATCTACTAAATTAATGCTTAAGATGCAAATTGAACCCTTCCAGTTGTTGTTCTTCCCTTTAGAAAGTCAACATGTGTGACCTACAGTTGCACACTTGTGTTTCCCCCCCTTCAAAGCCCAGCACAAAGCCCAGAAAGGCAACATACCGTCGTAGTAGACAATAGCTCCAACAAGCTCGTCTTTGCGTAGCATTGGGAAGAGCTCCAGGGCTCTTGACTTGCTAAGGACATAACTGCTTTTCAGGCACTGACTTCCGGCCACGATGTCATATAGTTTTATTCCAAACCAGTAGTATGGCATCTGCCACCATCTGCAGGAAAAAAAATAAATTCCCCATGAAGCGACACAAAAAAACCTGAAAAGAGCATTCACATGCTGTCATTGTAATACAGAACATGTGAAGTAACACAGTGTGTTGTGTTACACCATCACACAAATTTATGGCATCGCAATATAAGGTAAATATGAAGAACTTCTGTATTGTTCACTGTTCACTGTTTCCAAGTGATCTGCTCACCGCGGTTAGTCAAGCAGGCTCAAGGCTTTACTTATATAGAATTAAGATCACAAACTGCCTTTTTGTACTTCAGTGTAAAGTCAGATATTAAAGCTATGTGTTGAGGGAAGAACCAGACCGTGTGCGCAAGCTGCAAGGGTTCCTCAAATGCACATCTTGACTAATGCCTCCAGCACAAACAGGACCAAATAAATGCAGTCAACCGCTGACCTACGTCAGCTCCAGCTATTACAAGCCCCTTCTACTAAGACAGGACTAAAGCCGTACATTAAGACTGTTCAGCAGAAACTCACTGCTCTAAGTAGCCTGTTACAGTGAGGAACTGTTCTTACAGACCTAAAAACCTAACCCAAATCACCTGAAGTCTCTTTCTCATGCAAGAAGCAAACTGTTCTCAGTACCAAACTGTCACGTACTGCGGAAGACAAGCGTGCTAACTACTGCACCCAACAGTGGTGGCTGTAAGGACTAAACAGCACGCTGCTAAGATCACTGTGATAGCACGTGTTGAAGACAAGGATATACTGGAAAGAACAGCAAACAACATCCTGAGGATCAGAGCTCACTCCCGCTGCAGCCTCCCCTCCTTTCCCCCGTTGGGGCGGTAGAAGAGCACCGAGCAGCGGGAGCCCAAGACGTGCTCCTCGACAGCAGCGAGAGCCGCTCGGTGCCGTATGAGAATTTCATGCTTCCACAATACGGCAACATCTCAGCTCCTGGAGGACAAAGCTTGTGACAGGTCTAAAGACATGCTCAGGAAGAGGCACCTGGAAACTACTCCAGGGAAACAGCTTGCTTGTCAAAAGCAATGGTAAAGGAGAGAGATTATAGCGGAGCTTACTTGTAAACAGGTAGCATTATCGGCAAAGGAGCCGATAGGTGAGGAGCAATTTCAAGCAGATTTGCACGCTCCTCAAGCGCTTCTTTCACCATCTTGTACTGAAAGATAGAAATGCACACGTGAATCCCACATTACTCAATTTTGTCTCCATCTGCAACACTTAAGAAACTGTTTCTCAAAGCAAATACCTTGCATAATTTCTACTGTTCTTTCAAAAACACGAAGAGATTTGCTGAAAAATTCAAAAGTTAAGAAAAATGTTTCCCAAGAAAACTGAGTCTCACTAGTTTGATTTTGGTGTCCTGGCAGGTCATTTGAATAATTTTTCATTTGAACATGAAGCGCCATAAGCTGTGTTACCCCTAACTGTGGGCAGGAGGCACTTAACGAGGGTTAGAGCTCATCCCACAGCAGAGCTTCTGTGCCGATTCCCACAACTAAATCCCATACTAACTCCAAGTTGCAAATGCACAAGCATTCTTCTGCAAATCAATCAGTATGAATCAATATGACACTGTTATTTGGAAAAAAAAAAAAAAAAAACACCAAAAAAACCCCCAAAAAACCCAGGAGGTTGACTTCCATAGCTAGATAACTGCATGTTTCATATATTTTTCCCTGAGAAGTCACCACTTCCGTAGCGGTATTATAACCATTAAAATAATATGTTAACTTGGAGAGGTTTCAATGAGAACACAAATCAATTTCTCGAAACAAGAATATCATACTTCAACCAACACAAGAATACATAAAAGCATCTCTAGAGAATCACTCATTTACCTTATTTTTTTCCCCATTCCAAAGTAAACAGGACAATCACTCACTCCCCCAAATTCTGATCACGACAGGTGGGAAGCTCTCTTTATTCTGAAGCCAGCCCTGTCTCTGCCTTCCTCCCCCAAAATAAACGCAATCTACGAGGTACGGCAACTAGATTGGCCATGAAAGAATTTAGCTGAAGGCAGCAGCACTGCCTTCCCTAGTCTGGAAAGCTCAACTGGAGAAGACTTTCTATGTACAGTGGCTGTGGAATACAACAGTCAAGTACTAAAAAAATAGAAAGGAGTCTTGGATATAATTGGGACAGGGGAAGTGTCTACTAGCAATTTTTGCTTAACAACCAGCATAAACAATTACCTGCTCAAAATCCAACTTCATGATGGCCTTCTGAAGATATCTCACTCCACCATGGATCAATTTAGTGCTCCTGCTGCTGGTCCCTGATGAGAAATCATCTCTTTCTAGAAGGGCTGTTTTTAGTCCTGTGTTACCAGAAAACCAAATTAACTTCTTAAATTACACAATTTGTATGTAATTCATTAAAGACACTTCTCTAGGGTAGAGACAATCACAAGAAAAATTACTCCGTACATGGATAAATTTGTATTCAAAGTGTAGTGCACTGTCTATATTGTAATGAAAAATTTTAGCCTCCTTCCTAAGGGAAAAGTCAAAACAGAACTTCAACAGAAGCACATTAAAACCTGGATATTTCACAATAGAAAGGCATTACAGTACATTATAGGGGCCACGCTCCCCCAAGCAAATTATAGTTCATATTCATGGCAGGAACAGAGTATTTCCATGAATACTTTTAACTCTTTGCAGCAGAGAGCTCCAAACCCATCCCACTCTCAATTCCAACAGCACACCAGCGAGGCAGACGCGGCACCTTTGCCCGCTCGCTTACACGCTGCTTGCTCAAGAGGTGCCCAAACCCAGAGGAGAGCCAGCCCCGGGCACGCTCACCGCTCAGGAGAGCTCGCCACAGAACATTAGTTACGAGATAATGATGAAGTATTTCAGAAAAACGTTTACTCAAAATTGCGCACGCGTGTTCCCTGACCCCGGCAGGCGCTGAGGGTTTGACCAGCACAAGGAAGGGACAACCACACGGCTCACCGACGCTCACCCAAATGCAGAACACAGGTGCTTTATAACCGAACGTTGTAATGCTTATTCTAACAAACGCTCGGAATGAGGTCGGCACGTTTGCTGCACACGTTGTGTCCCCAGTTACCCCGGAGGCCTGGAAAAAGCCTTCCAGGGGTGAAGGCACACCGCTTCGTGCTGAAGTGGCTGTGAAACCACAGACCCCAGCGCTGTCTACACTGCGTCCCTGGCCCCTTCTTCGTGAAGGAGACTAACATCGGGTTATGTGAGGGAAGCTAGGTGACAGGAAGAGCTGCAGGAAACAAACGATTAACAGATGCCTTGTAATGGTAAGATAGGGGCAACAGCCCGGCCACATCCGTCGGCACGTACCGACAAGACAGCCACCGCTGACTTCCAACACCCCGCATAAGTAAAGCCAACCAAGATAAGCGCCACAGGACAAGGACGTGGCAGTCTTTCACTTATAAAACATATTTGGAAGGACAATCTGTGCTACAGAAGTCAGCGTAACAGACCCCCTCCATCACTGGCAAAATCCTAAAGTTAGGCAAGCAAGGCAAAAAGGGAATTAAAGTCAGTGACATGGCTACCAAAACCAACCGCAACAACATGACGATGCAAACCCAAGGGGAAGCGCATCACCTGCGTTAGCAGTTACCCCTTGGGTCTTCCCTTCTCCCTCTTTGGGGGTGCTTTATGTTATTGGTTGGTGAAAATACATTTTAACATCTATTGGTCTCCCAAAACTTCTATGTCCTTAAAACATATCTAATTATTACTGGTAACTTTCAAAGATCAGAGTAATTTATTTTTGTCAAATGTGACTGAAGATTAATGGATACAATCAGAAATAATTTGGCGAAGATATATCAAACACATGAAAAGCAAAATTTGTTGTTAAGCGAAGCAAACATAATAAAAGAGCAAGTTCCATGAATGAACAGCAACAATACACAATTCATTAACCAAATGCCTAGGAATATTTCACACTTCAGAAATCTACTGATATAATCAGAATAGCTAATAAAAGGATAAACGTAGATTACCTATAATTATTTCTGTATGCTTTACAACTGCATTTTCTACCACAATATAGCAGAGGCAGAAGCGAAAAGACCTCAAGTTATCTTTAATACTACATGAAAAAAATTAATAACCAGATTTGAGCTTGTATGTATCTACCAGTGGTGCAGACCTTACTGCTTTATCTATTTCAAAATTATCACACCTTCTGGACAAGTATTTTCCAATCAAGCCACAAAACACTCCTGGAGTCAGGTTTTGCCTCTTGTTTTTGAGGTGCATCTACAGGTTAAAGCACCTGAAGAACTTCAGGGCTACCTACTATGTTTTACACTATTATTTTTTTTCCATTTTAGTTCCAAAACCAGAAACAAGGTCTACAACCACAGAAACTAAAGAAGGTTGGTTCTCTCTTACATTGGTCGGTCGTACTGAAAATAACAACCGAGAGAACACACCCCAAGCCAAGCTTTTCTCACAAATCTTTTACACAGCTTTTTGGATAAAAATGCGGTATTCTGGGGGAATACAGTATTTTAGTAGAAGAGGAGTTGATGCCCCAGCCTCTCCGATAGAAACAGTACCCATGCAGTCTCATGTCTTTATCTGAAGATCTATTTTCATTAAACTCATAAAATAACTTATTCTCTTTGAGAACTGCCAAATTTGATTAGAACTTGCCGGCCAATTTCAAAGTCACTGCGTGAGGTGGATGACACAGAGTGGGCACTAGCGTTCTGCTTCTTCACTCCCTGAAGAGAGTTTTTCACGTCTGACTTACTGCATGAGGTATTGAACAACATCTGCACATCTACCGGCCGACAACCAACTGCCGCCACACACATTCTCATCCTCCTGCAGAAGTCGGGTAAAAAGCGTTAGCTTAAACTCATTTTACCTTGAGCTTTCCCTAAGTTAAGGCTACGCATGAAGTTAACATCAATTCTGCTGCTTCTAGTAGCTTCTTCAAGCAGTTACTCAGCTAATGCCCCAAAAGAGGGGAAATCTGAGCACAGATCTACTGTGTGTAGCTTCAGACTGAATGGTGCTGGTACCTTTCACCGAAAATCCAAACAGACTTCTCCACACCTGCAATATACTAAGCAGCTACAATGCATTAGCAGGAGTTGTAGATATCTCGTGTCATAAGAAATACGAGCTGGAGAGCCACTGTGACTCATCTAGAATTCACGCTTGGCCCTTTCATAACAGTTGCCAGAAGTGCTGCGCAAGTCGTGTCTTCTCTTTGCTGCACAAACAAGTGAAACGTGACTCCAGATCAACCCACTAAGCAAGGAGCAACAGCGGATGAGAAGTCGATCCAAGAGCATCCAGCAAAAAGGTTTATGTCCGACAACTGCATACAAGCACCGAGACAATAAAGACTCTGCCGAAACCACAAGCCGCAAGGACGCTTTTTCTTCAAGTTCACTTTAGCTTCTGAGAACAGCAGCTTTATAAACAGGCATTCAGAGTACCCCTTCTCTATCTTCAAGTACTTCTGAAAATCCAGTCTGAGAAATTTATTCTAAGCCATGTAATCCAAGAATAAGAATGCAATTAAATTTTCAAGCCTTACCTCTAGTGACTGCATCTAAAGCACAGCCACACCCTGTTGCTCCTCCGCCTATAACAAGGACATCAAATTCACTTGTGGTTTGCAGTGCCAAAATTTGCTGTTCTCTTGTGGGGAAATCATTCTTTATTGGAACAGTCACAGCTTCCGCAGCTTGAACACGCACAAAGGTACCCTACAAAGAGCAAAAGCAACACATGAGGATCTGTATTTATTGCGTATACACACACAACCACGTCCCCGCATTTTCTACAACCATAAAGGTAAACGCCCAGTCACTTTACCTATGTTTAATAATAATATTGCGTTAAAACATTATGGAGCAATAAACAGTGCTAAAACAATAAAGGGTCGGCACACATTTACTTCATCTTGCCTACTTCACCACAACGCTGTACTCAAGCACTACCACCTAGAGTAATTATTTCTAGGAATAGTCTTCTGCTATGTCAGATGTTACCGGATGCGCGGGAAGTACTTCAACAAACAGACACACGGCCACGCTCTCAACTCTCGACCAAAAAAATCCACCAAAGCAACGGACTTAAAGATGAATGTACATTTAATACTTCAAAACTGATTACTTGTACAGTGGCCACTGACCAGGTACATGAGATGATGTGGTTTACTGTCAAATGTAGTACACTACAACACCAAAGAAACACTATTTCCATATCCTTTCTTAAAATCTTATAAGCAAAGCAATTTATATCCTACAGCATGTTAAAATACAGCTTTTCTTTAAAGTAACAAAACTCAGCGATGTGGCAGTTTCCAGACAAGTTCAGATTTTACTGGAATGGCGTTGAGAATCCCTCCAGTACTCTGACACTCCACGAGCCACTGCTGCTCTCCAGTTAGTGGCCGCGGCGAGGAAGGCTGACGTGCTCGCTCAGTCAACTACTATGGACCGTGGTTGAAATTTTAAAGTTTTAGCCAGTTTCCAAAGGGTCTCTTCCGGTAACAATAATTTAAACAGAATTCTGAAAACCTTTACCATCAGAGGAATCCCCAAACCCTATTACTGGTCACGTACTTCATAATAGCAATGTGATGAGCGCCATCGCTGTGGGTTCATGTTCACCACACTAATTTTACATACAATGGGCTGTAGGCAGATACCATAGTTATTCAGACAGTTACATAGTGTGCAAGACCACAAAAGTCATGCTTGGTTTCTCTTTGCTTTCAGCTCCAGCTTCGCTTTTTATTCCAGCTCTTTTCTTCCCAAATTTTCCTCATTCACTATTGTCCCTCGTTCTGTACAAAACTAGACAGTGAATTTCCCTCGCCAGCATTTTTTTAAGACCGGACGGATCCATGTTTTCCACAACAATCACTTGCGCCCAAGTGTATCTGGCGGACAAAGCGCCGGCATTTACAATAAAAGCAGGGTAGTCGAGGTACTGGCCAGCAAGCCAGAACACCCGCAGCACATCCCAGCGCAGCAGTACCACCCCCGCAACCTTGAGAACATCGCCTGAGCTGGCTCTTTCACAAATAATCAGATTTTGGTGCTCTGAATATTGTTTGATTAACAGGAGTGCTTTTATTAGTACCTAGAACTTCCAAAGGAACTGTTTTCATAGAATCATAGAATGGTTTATGTTGGAAGGGATCTTGAAGATCATTGAGTTCTACCCCCCTGCCCTGGGCAGGGACACCCCCCCCCAGCCCAGGTTGCTCCAAGCCCCGTCCAACCTGGCCTTGAACACCTCCAGGGATGGGGCAGCCACAGCTTCTCGGGGCAACCTGCCCCAGGGGCTCACCACCCGCACAGGCAAGAACTTCTTCCCAATATCTCATCTCAATCTCCCCTCTTTAAGGTTAAAACCGTTCCCCCTCATCCCACGGCTCCCCTCCCTGATCCAGAGTCCTCCCCACCTCTCCTGGAGCCCCTTTAGGCACTGGAAGGGGCTCTGAGGTCTTCTCCGTGCCCTCCTCTGGCCCCGCTCCAACAGCTCCGTGTCCTTCTGCTGGTGGGACCCCCCGAGCTGGAGGCAGCACTGCAGGGGGGTCTCCCCAGAGCAGAGCGCAGCAGAGGGGCACAATCCCCCCTCGCCCTGCTGGCCATGCTGCTGGGGATGCAGCCCGGGGTGCCGGGGGCTCGCTGGGCTGCCAGCGCACATTGCTCAGTCACATTGAGCTTCTCACCCACCAACACCCCCAGGTCCTTCTCCTCAGGGCTGCTCTCCAGCCATTTCCCCCCAGCCTGGAGTTGTGCTTGAGTTTGCCCTGACCCACGTACAGCACCTTGCGCTTGGCCTGGCTGAACTTCATGAGGCTCACACAGGCCCATGTCTCAATCCTGTCCAGGTCCCTCTGGATGCCATCCCTCCCCTCCAGCGTGTTGACTGGTCCGCACAGCTTGGTGTCATCAGCAGACTTGCTGAGGGTGCACTTCACCCCACTGTCCATGTCACCAACAAAGGACATTTAACAGTGCCGGTCCCAGTAGCAAACCCTGAGGAACGCTGAGGTCACTGGTCTCCAGTTTGACCACAACTCTTTTAGTGCAACCATCCAGCCAGTTCCTTATCCACCGAGTGGTCCATCCATCAAGTCTGTGTCTCTCCAGTTTAGAGAAAAGGATGTTGTGTGGGACAGTGTCAAATGCTTTGCACCAGTCCAGGTAGATGATGTCAGTTGTTTTAACCACTACTGATTTGAAATACACACGTGAAAACAAATAAACATCTACATTACCCAGACCAGGACGGAAGAAATAATTGACCGATTCAGAATGGACCAAAATAAACAAGCAGGAAATTAAAAATTAACATTTTCAGAGTTTCCTGAAAAGTATAAACACTCTCAACACAAGAAAAACCTGTTTAAACCCTAGAAACCAAGGTCTGAGCATGATCCAGTCTTTAGTCCAAATGGCAGACTTAACTGATGCAAAATAGCTTGTGCCCAGATCTCCTAAACAGGAAAGAGTAAATGAATACAAATTCAAGTAACAAAGCACAAAATACTACTTTCTTACTATCATCTCAAACAATCTATTTGTCAAATCTCTTTCCATCCACTGCTTACAGTGTGCAAGGAATCTCGCTCATTTAAGTTTTACTTCCAAACACTCCTTGAATAACCTGAACCAGGCAAGTTGTTCAGTTATAGAAATAACTTTATGGCTTATGGCGCTGTTAACCGTGAATTACAATTGCCACAGAAATAGCTCCTAAGCCCAGGCCCACGCTGCAAACGCGCCACCCCAAGCACCCTTCACCCTGCCCCAGAGTTGTAGCATTACTCAGCCCACACGTTGAGTTTCCCAGGCAGACGCTCCTAGATCTCTGCCGTTAGGAAAAGCTCTCCGCTAAAACAAGCCACCTCCGGGTTTTCGGAACTGCAGTCACTTCCCCTGGCATTTGCAATGGGGAGAGAATATCCACCCGCTGTATTAAAGTAGCTTGGCTGACCAAAGGTGACCCAGTTGCTTACCCCCATCTGCTCGCAGGCGCAGCTGAACGGGTCTGCAGCTCCTCTGCAGCGACCACTTCCCCGGCTGTCACAGAGCTCTTTAAGCAGACCTTCCCAGTTAAAGGTAAAAGTGATTCTTGCAACACGTCCGCTGTAAATTAACAGCCAATCCAGCCATGCGCAAGAAGCCTGAACTCGGATTATATGGTGCATACATCCTAAATATTTTTGTTCAAAATTATTTGCTCATTCTTCAGCAGTATTACGATTGAAATGCGTTATTTCTCAGTGTTCCTATCATTACTGCACAACTGAAAATAAAATCTGATGGCTTGTAGCCACATCGAAAAGAAGTGCACATTGAAAAATAATGAAAGATCAAGTTCATCCTGTAATCACGGATGATGTTGACTATAATGCAAGTAGCTCATGCAAATTACTCAGGACAGCAGCAACCACATTCATTGCACGTGTGTTGTAATTCAATCAATAAGGAAAGTTGGACCACAAAAAGAGTGCTTCACTTTATATTAAGGGTGTATACCTTCCCAGAAATAAAGTGAAAATTAAGATCTAAACCAACTAAAATTTGGCCAATTATGACTCAAGCTATAGTATTGCTACTGATTTTTCCCAAGCCTGTGGTTCCCGCCGGGGTCACCTCCAGCCCAGCAAGCGCCTGGGCACGGCGCAGCCCCAGGCGTGCGACCAGCCGCATTAAGCACTCAGCCAACTGTGGCCCAGGCTCAGGCACCGACTACAAATGCACAGTAACGAAAGGTCTCCTAATTAGAAGCTTGTTTAAACCCACCGCAACCCTCAAATAGAGACATACGTGCTGCCAGCCCAGGAGTCAGGAGAGACACGCAGAGAGCGCAGAGGCCGAGCGAAGGTGAAGCAGACAGGGGAATGTCGATGAGCTCCCAATCACGGTCTCCCCTCGCTCTCACCTGTGTACACACCGACACGTGGCGGCAGGCACAGATCACCAGCTGAGGTACAAAGTTTCGGCACTTCAAAGAAATTCGGCTTCCACGTTATTCTTCTGATCAATGAATTCTGCACACTCCCACCTACTTTCGCCTCTTGCCCCGCTCTCTCCCCTGCCCACTCGTCTCTAGCAGAGCTGAACACTTTTCTATCCCCCAAAGTGTGGTTCGAAACTTTTATATCCCTACAGTATGGTACACTGGTGCAGTTCCAGAAGGCGTTCTTCCAGGGAGCGATGGCCACAAGGAAGGAGACACTGAGAGGATCCAGCCGTTCCTGCCTTCCCTGCCTGCCCCGTGCTGGGCAGACGCCCCTCCGGCCCCTGTGCTGCTGCAGGGGTTTGCTGCGACCCCTCTGCCCGCCACCGGCCCCGCACGGCTTGTCCTCCCCACAGGGGCCGGGAAAGCAGCAAACGAAAGGTTTTCCCCTACAACACCTGAAAACTGCGACACCGCTGCAGCGTTCTGGGTTGCACAGAAGCATCACCATCCGGCTGCCTACACGGTCCCTGGTTTTTCCTCGGTGAGCTGGTGCACTAAGCACGTCCTTCACTGCGGTACCGTTACAGCGAGTGCAGAGACGGCAGATGCCAGTCTCCACCTTCCCTAAATATCACCCTGTGACTTGCAGACAACAGTGACGAGAAGGAAACTGTGAAGACCAAAACCACCCGTGGCTTAGTCTTGCACGTGTCTTGGCTGATCAAGTTCAGCTACTTATGCTCAACTTTAAAACTTTAAAAAAGTGAAAATCCCAATCCCAAGATTTAGTTTTGCACTGCGTTTCCAAACATGCCGTCTTCAGCAAAACAAGTGTCTCTTTTCAAAGCATACAACTTAACTTCAGGAAAATAAGAGGATACAAGAGAAACAAAATTCAGAGTTCAAGAAGCACCAGCATCATTTGGTTTTGACTATATTTTTTGTTTTGTTTTTAAACACATTACATACAACAAACGGCTTACAGTAAAACACAGACCAGAGCCCCAAGCAGAGAGCCACTGGTTTAGCAAGAGCACCGAGATTAGCGCTGAAATACAAGCAAAGTGATTAGCGCACTAGGAATTGATATAGATATGATTCATCTTGCTGTCAATTAAATGCGAGAGTGAAGAAAAGCTGCATACAGGGATTCCATCTGCAATAACGTGATTAGTTTGGCAGTGAACAAGTATGTTTACTGAAATAAGCAATTGCTGTTTATATCTACAATTTCTCAGGCAAGAGTTCCTTGAATGGTTTTGATTACGCTCTCAGCGAGAAGAAATTTAGTTTGGCAGTTTGAATTCAATCATGAAGTTATAAAGTGATCTAGTAATCCATAAGCATGCATTCTTGTTCATTTGCTAATGTAAATCTCCAGGTAGGTTTGCAGAGTCAAATTCATCATCATCATTCATTTTTTGGAGGGCGGGGGGGAGGAGTAATTAAAAAACCACAAAGCAGGCTTGGATGCATTATCATATTATCATACTCATTGGATTCACCTTGACGAGCAATTCCTACCGACCAACAATGTACTTACACACCAGAAAGAGAGAAGGATTGCCTGGTGGGCTGAGTAAGGAAAAGGCAGCAATCTCTTACAACTCCAAAACAAAGCAGTGCTTTTCCCCTTAATGAGGGGAGGTGGGGGGGGGTGGGTGTATAAAAAAATCATCAGTGGTCTCCAATTGAAACGTGGCACATCAAAGAAGACCCACATCATACCTAGTACCAGCCCACCTGGCTCAATGCTTTAAAATAAAGGCACAAAAAGCAAGAATGCAGCAACTCAGTCGGCATCTACAGGAAGGAAGAGAAACTGGAATTTCCATTTCTCTGTCACCATGAGTGTTAGAAGCTCTGGGGAAACAGCGAGCAAAGGCTGGCTGTACCACCTTTGCCATTCAGGTATCTGAATATCTGAGGCCAAATCAATCAATTAGTTAGACAGCCTGTGTATTTTATGTCTCAGAGGGGTCCAACTTCATCTCAGATGCAATTCTTTGCAGGAGCTTGTGACTGGTAGTCAACGTAGCGTACATGGATTCGAGAGTTTCTCTGTTGTTTAAGATAAAATTCATTTACAGTGGTAGCACTGAAAAAAAAAAACAACCTATGAACACATTTGCTTTATGGGAAAACAGTTTAGGAGGGACTAGTTTCTTCAGATCTCTGCACTACCTGCTGTGCAGAGTTCCCCAACTGTCTCATTTTCTCTGGAAAAGGGTTTTTCTCTTTAATCTAACCAAAAACCTCCCTGTCAGACTTACGCATTTGCCCTCAACAGCCTAAGTCAGTAAGGAAAGCTTGACCAGCTTCCTTAAGGGTAACGGTTGCTCAGCACGAAAGAACCACTCCTGTGTGCTTACTGAAAGAGGTTTTGCTTGAATTAGTGTCATTTCTACTTATTCCCTTACACACAGCATTAAGCTAACCCATTTTATTAACTCAGTAAATATCCCAGCGATCGGGTTACTATAAAATACACAGAAGTGCAATATTCATCTATCACTTTATGAGTTACATTCAGCAACAGCTCTGTCATGTCAACACGTGTTCCCATCCTCGCTTTGCTCATTTTTTTTCCAACACACAATCAGGGCGATTTACTAAGCCCCTTGCACGCCTGCGTATGTCATACACAGATAAATATTCTCAGGTTACGCTGCCTCAACTGCTGTTGCAGAAACGTACTCCAAAATGTCAGCACACACATGTGTGTATAGAAAAATAAGGTGGGGTAACAATCTTAAAAAGCAGGAGAGATCTGAATCAATGGAGTGTTTTATTTCCAAGGTGCAAACACTTTACAGCCGTTTACGTACAGACAAGGTGCTAACTGTGCCATTCCCCTCCCAGGCAGGCTTCCACTCTCAAGCCTAGGGAGGACAATTTAAATTCCACCATCGGAAATTGCCGATACTCCTCCCTTTTAGAAGACAAACCACTCACTAGTACGCTGGGCTAACAAATCCAAATGACCTCCCACCCATTCTTAAGGGCCAGAACTTTACCACCCTGCAGCTTCTCCTGGGACAGCCAGGTTTCACAGACACATGGAACACCAGCGGAGTGAACGTGGAAAACAAAGACAGACAGATCCAGTAGACTGCGTGTTCAGGATTGCGAGCCAGCCGAGGTCTTTATTCTGTAAGGAGTGCCCCTAACTCCAGGACGCCAGCCACAGCACATCCAGTCGCTGAGTGAGGCAGTACGAACAGGGGTAAAAAACCTGAGCATTTTATTTCTGTCTTATTACGTGATGGATTCTGTGCTTGAAATAACAACAGATTTCCTACAATGTGTAGCCAATTAGTGCACATCTTGGGGCAATATCCTTCTCTGGCAAAGGAAGACAAGATCTGTGCCCTAGCATATATTTGATTGGCAGGCATTATTAAAAAGAGGACACTTGGGCTGGGGGACATGCCCACAGCTTAGATATGTCAACACGACAAACGGACTGTCCTCCTTTGTGTCAATCCCTCCAGTTATGTTCCACCTGCTGCCCTGTATTAGGTGTTTAAGGCAGCAGCTTTAAGGGACATCACGTGGGAAATGTGCAAGTTAGTACAACACGAAAACAACATGCTGTTCACTTGACAGATCCATTTGCTTACACATATGCTGGAAATTGTCAGATCCTTTGTAGACTGATCCTACACAATAGGTTTAGAAATCGGGGGACAAGCGGTTATTTCATTTTGACACCGTGATAACCTTTTGTAAAACTTTGGGTTTTAGTCTGTCTCTGGAAATTCATAATGGCCATCCAATGGCCATCCATTCCCAGAAAAATGGGAATTCCCCAAATTCTGGAATACTGCATATAAAACAAGTGAGCTATCCAGATCACTTTTCCCTTCCAACTCCTTCTCTTATTTAACAGTCCTAAAATTTGAAGCTGCCATTTCTCACAGTAATGAAGCCAGATTGTAAAATCCTGTGATAAAGACTCCAGAGAGAGTTAGAAACAGTATAATCAGCTAGGTGCAAGACAGGCAGCCCAATGGGAAGCTCACTTTAAATGCTAGGTTTTATTTTCTGCAACAGTATCTGAAGCCATAAGGATCCTGGCTTATCCACTTCCCAGCTAGGTTCCCCAGAAATGACTCATCTCATTTGCTTCACCAATACCTCAGCTGCTACTCCTCCTCCCCATAGAAACAGCCAGAAGATTCAGATTATCATTTACTCAGACGTAATACACACCTTCCTGGAGCTCAGTGAAGACTCTCTCCCATCACCCACTGTTTTACCTTCAACTAGACCATTAAGATCCACTTCTTCCGTTCCTATTTTCAGTTTGCCCAATTTGAATGGCAACTTAGAGTAAATGTGCGGTAACTAAAGCAGTTCAGAGAGTAACAGCTTGCCTAGATAAAGAGCTGACTGATTACATTTCTAAGGTGAGGAGCAGAAAACCCCTTGCGAGACGAGCGCCTGCTCACCTAGCTGCTCACCCTGCCGCCACCTCCAGGGAAGGGGGAGGCAGTTCCTTGGGCTTAAGCTTCTTCCAGAGGCAGACTGAAGCAAATCAGGCCAGAGCTCTGACAACACTTACTTCAACCATTTTACGGAACACTGATTGCAAATAGTTTTGGCCAGACGCGAGGTGCCAGCTTCACAGCCCGCATTTAACACCAGATCAGAAGACACGTTCCCTTAGACGCATCTACTAACCCCAGACGTGGTTACTTTATAAAACTCTACAGCACAGCAGAACTGCATTAAAACAACGGCCATTTATTTGCTTTAAGATAAAGAGTAGTTGTCGATCCTCACCAGCTCTGCCTAAAACCAGTCCACAACTCATGTTCCTTTTACTGGTTTCTCCTTGGCTTCTGCATGGAGAAGCCAGTTGAACAGCACGGTGACTCCGACTGCGCTGCGAGCAGCAGATACGCCAATGAAATCTACTTTCTACCCCAGCAAGGATCAATACACAAACTGACACCAGAATCTACTGCATCTCTTTCTGCTACCGGTACTTTACCTTAACAGTTCGCCTCCGGCATCATCTTTCACTGCTCGGGGAATTTATGCTGTCCGTGTGCCTTAGCTACCTGGAGGACAGCAGTGACGCGTGCCCCCAGCTCACCAGCGGGTCCTGCCCACCCGGACAGAGGCCGATGCCCACCAGAAACAACAGGAGCCTCGCCACTGACTTCTTTGGCACGGATCCTACCCTCAAACAGCTTTCGGCTTTTTGAACTGAACGAGAACTGCCACCACGACCATTCTGAAGCTGAGATTTTCAGAGGTAGAGCTAGTGGTTCCACTTCAACCTTCTAAGTTTGAAAATACCGTCCAAACTCTACTTACTGCGTCAATCAGTACTTTCCACTCCACCTCCAACTAAGTGAAATCCCCAGTAGTACTCAAAGGTCATTTTTTTAAACATGAAAAACGATTTACAAGAATCACACTTCCCCACTGGTTAAAGACCTACAACAGCAAAACATCGTTTAATGCCATCCTCCGGATTAGCACCTACCAAATCAAGCTGAGAGGCTCTTGGCATTCCTTTCCAAACAAAACTATTCGTATAAGCCTAACATACGCTCAAACAGATTTTAAGTTTCATATTTTATCAGAAATCATAATTAATACTTACGTGTTTGTTTCTATACTGAGAAAATTGAGAGAGGCCAAAAACTGTTGCTATGGCACCTCCTCCAATGAGAGCAGTTCCTTTCACTGCCTTCTGAAATGCCATTTTTTACTGTAAGAAAAGAAGATAAAAATTAATAGGCAGTTTTACCATGTTAGAATCTAGGCTACACGGAATAGACCATTTGTAGAAACTAATGACAATGTTGTGACAACTTGAAACTTAGAGTAGCAATATATTAATTAGCAATTGTCATTGCAATATTAATAATTTCTAAACAAAGCCTAGACAGAGGCAAGCCAGTGCTCTGGTATTTGCTGTGAAAGCTGAAGGACAAAAGAGTATTTAGATATAAAAGTAGGTGTATGCAATCCCCCCCCCCCCCGTTTAAACTCTAAGTATTTGAATATGTGATGAGTGCTTACAATACTGTGGCAAAAGCAAAAGAAGAACATAGCGTCATCTGCCAGATGGCCACCAAATCCTTATCACAACAGAACGGCTGATCTGCTTGACAAGATCACCTTTAGCTACCCTCCCATCCCATCAAACTATTTCAACAATCACACCTGCCTAACAGCACTCCATCCTACTTTCCAGCCAGGAATTATGATCCCTGGATTCTCTGTATACCAACAAAGCTTGTCCTACCCAGGAACGGTGGAGAAGCGATGCGCTGCTAGTCAGGAAGCACGTCCTTCAGTGAGAAGCAGCAGCAGAGACAGTGGACAAGATTAAGTGGCTTGAAATAAGTGCAGAACTTTGTCATCCAGCTACAGAGGGTTTAAAACTAGCCCTATGTGGGTCAGGCAAATTCTTAAAAAGACCCAGTGTTCGGATACTGAATGAAAAATTTGCATGGAACTGACCTGAATCTTAAGCAGGCATAACCTAATCCATCTTCCCAGGACGGCGGCAGCTCGCATTGCGTTAGAAACAACATACATCAAGTTTGAAGGACTCCCGTCAGCGCTCCGAGCCCTCCGGCTACGCAGACATCTTTATCCGAGCCCCAGACTCACCCAGCAGCCTCCACACAAGAGATTTAGCACCGTTAACGCTTAAAGCAGAAGCAGGCAACATGTACAGCCCCGTGCCAACACCGGCACACCATCGGACTTGCAACACGGCGGCAGCAGCCCTGGGCCAGAAGCAGGGAGCGGTGACGGGTCCCCATCCCGGGCTGGGCAGGGGGAGGCCCCCACAGCCTCCCCTGACCCCTGGCCAGCGGCTCAGCCCTCGTCTTGGTCCCCGGGCCAGTCCCCGCCGGCCGCGCTGCCCTGGTCCGGCACGGCACGGCACGGCTGAGCTGGAGGCTTGGCACCCTCCCTCCGCGCCTGCTGCCCACCTTATACCAAACCCACCAGACTGGGTTGTAAACCGCGACTTTTGGCAGCGTACAGCTTTCTCATCGAGGTTTGCAGCAAACTACTTACAACTGAAGAGTTATTTCTTTGGCCTTATAAATACAATTTCACGTGAAATACCGTATGTTACTATACATCTATACACATTTCATCTCTTTTCTCCTATCAGTTCTTCCAGCTAGCATAATTGTTCTTTTTTCTTAAAACATAGACCAAACTTGTTTAAGACACAAGCCAAACAAGAAAACTTCATTTTTAAGATGGTATAGAGCTTAAATTCATTCCCTGGGCGCTTTGCTTGCAGCGCACTCAGTGCGAGGGGAAACTCCACACACAATTATCGTATGCAAACGGTGGATGTACAGAGGTTGTACATATGTATTATACGCAAGTGATTATGGCACAGAAGACTTGCAGCTTCCCACA